GTCCCTTGTATGTTCTTATTTGCTCTTTAGTGGATGTTGTGAATATATGTTGAACCACACTGTAGTGTTTTGTCAGTATAACGCCACTTCGGTATCCGGCCTCATGAGGCGCATAAAGAGTTACATTCTATGATCGATTTCGCTGTCCATCTATGTCCATTATCATTGACAGAGCAACTTTTTCTCCTGAACTTTGGTGATCAACCAATCACAGCTTCTGATAAATGTATCACACCTAGCAGCAGGGTCAACCACACCTCCTCAATAAGATTAATGTTTTTGTGTCCTCCTTGTCAGAGAAGCTCTGAGAATGTTCCTCAATTACTCGACTATTACTAGATGTTTTTTTGTTTTTTTTTAAATATTTATTTTTGGGATTTCTGTGCCTTTAATGGAGAGATAGGACAGTGGATAGAGTTGTAAATCAGGGAGAGAGAGAGTGGGGAATGACATGCGGGAAAGGAGCCAAAGGCTGGATTTGAACCGGGGCCGCCCGCTTGGAGGACCACAGCCTCCATACATCCATTTGGGCTGTTAATGCCTTTATTTAGACACAACCCATACATAAAAGTATCCACGTTTATAGAATGACCTCCACTACATGATGGTACTAAAAAAAGTACTTCTGAAACATCAATGTGCCGATAATAATATTTAATATTTAAACATTTTTCCTACATTTTTTTTTGTATGATTATGTTTGATCATTTTAATTTATAGACTTTAAATACAAAGAAACAATAATAATGAAAGCATACATCTGCTTAAAAGGACTAATATCAGTTTGGCTTACAGTAAATTATTTGTTACTATGGTGATACAAAATACATTCTTCTATAAATAAAAATAAATACTGAATGCCAATGAATATATCAAACGTGTCAGAGTTTCTGTGTGTTGTGTTTTTTTTAAGATAACCCAGAGATGTTCTGTGTAGAGGCAGTAAAGTGGAGCTTTTCAGAGATGTCAGCCTTTCATGAGGAGACCTTTGCTCTCTGCTGTAACGGCCCTGCCAGCTGCAGGTCACATTGCTGCTTCATTACTGTTTGCCTGTGGCCCCCTGACCCCCCCAGCCTTCATTTACACCTCAGTGAGGACTACTCCATCACTGCGCTTCTGCATGCCTGACACACACACACACACACACACACACACACACATCGCACCACTGAGTGCACAGAAGAGACACTGGCCTCAGGTAGGAGTGAGGTGGATGGAGCTGGATCAACCTGAAAGTGCTTTGACTTTTTATTTAGGCTGTTTTTCCCCCCTTGAGTTTAGTACCACAAATACCATTTATAGTTTTTATTTTATTTGATGTGCTCTTAGTTTAAGTGTTGTGGTCTGTTACACCAAATACATTTATTCATTACATATAATTTAAAGGAAACTAGGATCAATGTTATGTTTGAGACTCAATAGCTGCACTTTTACATGAGCGTGTGAGCGATGGTACATTTTCAATTAAACTACATATTTGTTTGTGTGTATTCCGAATAACATTTTAGTACAAAAAAAAACAAAAAGTAGCACACATACGTTGTGTAAACTTTCACCTTGTGTACATTTTTATGAATGATAAAGGCAAGGCGACTTTTTAAAGCATTATTCACACTCAGAGCAAATCAAAGTTATTTACAGGGTTAGAGGAACATTCAGAGCAATGAAAGAGAAATATGACAGTAAGACAAATTAAGTTCAAAATAATTAAATGGACTCCTTCTCTCAGAGAGGATCCAAAGAAAGTACTGGAGCACATTAATCACTTAAGGCACATTCATTTAAGTGTAAAGGGCACACTTCCTTCTCAGTTAAAGATTACAGGTACAGATTTGAAAAACAAAACTAAATGCGCTCCTACTCACAGAGACAGATTAAGACAGTTACTTTGCACACTCATCATATGTTGGCTGATTGTTATATTCTGTTCCTTTTACACGCTGATCTGACTCTGGAGTAATAACTGCGTCCATGTTCATATCTCAGGTTATTACATTCTATCCCAGGTGTTAGCTTTTTGGGCCGGTACTCAGTACCTTTGACTCTCCTCGCCTGCAGATCTCAATGTGTTGGCCGTACGTCGCACCACAATGCAGATTGTAACAAAAGGGTGCCAGTGATGGAAAAGCCCCTGAAACGATTCTTAAACTGGACACTTCTGCATCAAGTCGTCATTTTGATCACCTGAGCCAGAGAAGTCACATTCACTTAGCGTACAGCTGTTCAGATGCTGTTATTTAAAGTGTGGCTCCAACCACAGAGCTAAACGTTGTGTGTTGGAGGTTTGATCATTGAGAACAACACGAGAGTTACACATCACTCTCTGTGATCGTCTTATTCTTTAAACCATTTCAGCCTTTGTTGCCTCACAGAACATCAGAGTTGTATGCTATTTTGCTGAGAATTATTTGGGGAATTTTAATTCCTTTATTCTAGAGTTAAGACAGTGGATAGAGTCAGAAACAGGGGAGAGAGAGAGTGGGGAATGACACACAGGAAGGTAGCCACAGGTTGGGTCGGATCTGAACCCGGGCTGCCCACTTGGAGGACCATAGCCTCCATACACGAACCACTAGGCTACACGTTTATGCTTTCTTGTGTGTATATAAAGCATTTCTTTATTCATTTCTTTGGAGGACCATAGCCTCCAAGTGGGATTGAAAGATTTTTATGAACATTAATAACCTCATTAAAAAGACAAAGAATTGCCACATTTCCAATATTCTGCCTGCAACTCATTTGGCTGGACAGCAAAAATACTTTTGTTATTTTTCTCAGTTCTACACTCTGGCAAGTTAAGGTCTTTTGCCTTTGTAGGGCAGCATAGCCTCCATACACTAACCACTAGGCTACCGTCGCCCCACATTTATGCTTTCTTGTGTGTATATAAAGCATTTCTTTATTCATTTATTTTCCATTGTTTCTTTATTTCTTTTACAACATTTTACATTTAACAGACAAAAATAGAAAATAAAAGAGTCGTAATAATACGAGCAAGGAAAAGAAAAGAACAGATAATAAAGACAAAGAAGACATTATACTAACAGCTAAATTAAAGTAAAACCAACAGAACCATGAAATAAATAAAAGTTCTTCCTTCAGTCACATTTCATGTAGCACTTTTTTTTCATCTCTGCATATGGCCAAGGCACATCAAGCTCTCCTGGGTTGTAGTGTAGAGAAACTAGTAGTGCCTAAAACAGTAAGATAAGGGTAGGTATAATAAGCTAAAGCTTCAGCCTACACCTTTTCGGTCAACATTTTCTTCTTGCCTTCTCTTGAATGCACATGCCTTTGTAAATTTTTGTATTTTTATTCTACAATTTTTACACATTTCCTAATGGAAAACTGTAAATGTTGACCGAAATAAATGACTACTACTACTAGTCAGACGTCTATGAAGGCTTCCACGTTGTCATAAAGATGTCTCTTTTCTCCCTTTAGTTATACGTCCCCTGTTCCAGAGGTAAAGTGTCATTGAGGATTTGTTTGAACCGATTGAATGTTGGAGGTCTTTGCTGGTTTCAGTTGAGCAGGATGCATTTCTTTGCTTTCTAAAATATGATAGAAATTCTCTTTGCAGATATGGGATCCAAAGTCCTGTCCAATTCTGTGCTGATAAAGGTAAAGCACTGGTGTTGAAGCTCTGTAACCCTGACAGTCAGAGCGTGTACCGCTTTCCAGAAGTGTTTGAAATGTCTACATTCCCAAAAAAACATCGATATTGTAGCCTGTATAGCCCCATTTCCACCAACCGGTCCGTTTCAGTTCGGTTCTGTATGGTACCCATTTATTGGCGTTTCCACCTTCAAAAATTGGGGAACCAAAATAAGGGCTCCGTACTGTCCTACTTTTTTGGTACCCTTCTGTTGGGGAGCCATGCGTTTAACCTAATTAATAGCTGGCTTCACTGTGATGGGCTGCTGTGATGTCACACTATTACAGAGCTGATGCAGCTTCTGGTTTACACTCTGCTTTACCAAATAAGGGCACGCTGGCTCTGGAAACACAAGCATGTTCAGGGTTTACCTCACCAAATTGTACCAAACTGTACTGAACCAAACCGGACCGCTTGTGTTTTACACCGATGACATTTAGAGGGTGAGTTAAGGTGCATATGACTTAAACGAAGCGGGGTAAGGTACATCCATGCGCATACATTTTGAAACTGTTGAATTAGTAAAGTCATTCTGACAAAAAGTGCCCCAGTGATCGTTCGCCATAAACTCTTGAGCCGTAAGTTGTTTCTTTGAAGAAAAATAAATCTCCTTTTAGTGGCAGGGAAACGTTTCATTCTGGATTCAGGATTTGACTTGACACACAGACAAAGATTAACCCAGGATTGAGAAAACAAACACTTTAATTTATTATTAAATGACATAAATAAAACTCACAGTGAGCTCAAATACAAATACATAGTTATGTACAGGGTGATGGATGCAGAAGGCACTTGTGTCTCTCGGTCCGATCGTGGGACATTTATTTCATTTGGGGAAAAAGGCACTTTTATACGGGAAAAAAAAAAAAAACACTGGACGTTAATTTAAAATATTTACACACATATACATATTCATGTTAGCGGAACCTTTTTTTCATCTTATGAATGCAGGAATAAGAAACAGACGATATCAGGGATGTTTGCTTGGGTCTAAAATCATTTTGATAAACAAGTTATAAAGGTCGGATGAGCATGTTGGGAACTACTAAGAGCAAAGAAAGAGTTCTGAGTGTGCAGATATTACAGAGTTTCATTTTCTCATGTCATATTGTCCAACATGGAGGGAGACGATTGTCTGTCAACTTCTTTCTTCAGTCTAACTTTACACCTTTTTAAAAATTGAGAGACTCTGGAATGGATAATCTGAGCTTTTTTCATAAACCCAAGGCAGGCAGGATCCTCACAGGTCTTGTGATGCCTCCAAATCCTCTTTTGAATATTTTATTTCTGTCTTTAGTCCTGCTCCTCGAGCCTCCACATGCCGCAGGTTTCAGTTTTCTGCTCAGTAGCTCTGTGCCACAGGCGCCCAGGACGCGGTCAACCTGGCGATTGAGCTCTCGAACTGAGCATCGCCGACCCCGACCTCGCCCAGGCTGGGGTCATACATGGTGGAGGGCGAGGACACTGGCAGGGAGGAGGTCAGGCTGGTGTAGGAGGAGCCCCTCAGGAACTGGGAGGTCAGACCTCCGGGGATGGAGCCCGAGGCAGAGCCTGAAGGGGTGAGGGTGGTGCCAGAAACTGACCAAAGGCTGGGGTATTGACTGTGGACCAGAGGGAGGAGAGGGTTAAGTATTTGGGGAACTTTACAATATCCTCAGAGGTTTCAAAGATGATGACATCTTTTACCCACAAACTGCTTCTTACATACAGATAAAAGCAAATAGGAAATAAAGCCGAGGTTTTTTTGTTTTTTTTTCATTTGCTTTCTATTTAAAGTGTACAAGGTGAAGAAGCTTACCTGGAGTTAGAGGAGGAGTTGGTGGAGTGGGACAGAGTGCCCATGCCGGAGGAGTTGGGGATCTGAAGAGCAGACCAGCTGTCATGAGTGGGAAGAGCCCCTGAAGTGTTGTCCATGTAGTTGTCTTGAAAAATCAGGGGAAAACACCACAAATCAAACAACAATCCCCCACATTTATTTTTATTCCAGTCGTGATCGTTTCAATATATCTGTAAATGTATGTTTTTAGGGGGGGGGGGGTCTTACTTGTGCTGGAGGCTCGGTGGGGGTAGTGGCCGGGGTACGGTGCCGCTCTGTGGCTCCTCAGGCTGGAGTAACGCTCGCAGTAGGAGCCGGAGGAGTGTCCCGCCGTGCTGCTGAACTGAGGAGGGCTGCTGCTGGGGCACATCGGAGCCTGACCCGGGAGGAACCAACCTCCAACTGTGGAATCAAACGTAAAAAAAAAAAAAAATCAGTCAGAAAACACATCAGGAGTTTTAAAATGCAATCTCTGCAGTAATTTAAAAATGCTTTGGTGCACATAAGAAATGAAACTCACGCTGCGAGTAGCCGGACTGTTGGCTGTCGGCGCTGTGATCGGGGACGTCTTTGTGGTCACTTCTGTAAACATAAACAACGACGTTAATGCCTGTTACTATGAGCACGCTGACTTCCTAAGTCGAAAGACATATTTGGGGTTGAATCCCGTACCTTTCTTTGGCATCCAAGAAAGCCTTTGCAAAGGGGTTGTGCTTTATCTTCAGAGCGGTAATCTGTGTGGAGAACATTTCAGCTGTTAGCACTTATATCAATACTCAAGACGAATCAGAGTTTAGAAAAAGGCCTCATGTAGAAATGATCCAGGCAACACTGACCTCTTCATTCTGGTAAGCAGTGACAGCGATGAACTGTGTTTCAGGGAAAGACTGGCTGCTGATCATCTTCTGAATGCCTCCAACCTTCACGATGTGTATCCTTGGCTCGTATTTGTGCAGAGAATTCAGCATGATCTATGAAACAAAATACAGACAATGTTATTGTTTATCATGGAAACAAACAGCAGGACTAATAGTCCACACAGTCAGTTAAGTGTTTTTTCCTCAGATGAGGTAAAGACTTAGCATTAAAGTGACATGAATCCACTCTATGAAAATTAAACTATTGCTTTCTATTTTCTTTTGTTTCCAGAAATTCTACAGTTCCAAAATTTGCACAAAAAAAGTTTTGTTTCAGTCCTCATTCTAATATTTATATCCACATAAGAATTGAATGTCTTATTTGTAAATGATTTTCTTTGCGCATGAACCCTCACCTGTCCGCCTCCGTTCAGTTTATTGGAGAGTTTGACTTTGCTGAAGGAGACTGGCGCTTTCATCCAGTGCGCTCCGAAGTTGGGGGAGTCCGGGTGGATGTAGACGCAGCTGGGGCTCTGGGGCTCCGGTTTGCCGCCGGGGACCCACTCTCCGTTCACGTATTTCCACCTGTTGTTGTCGGCGGCCACGAAATCAAGCAGCACTGAGTACATGGCGTTGGGGTCGAGGCCGCTGACGCTGGCCCTGAGCACCGGAAACATCCTCCTGAAAAACATAAAAGATAGGATTTGTTAAAAAAAAAAAAAAAAAAGTTGTGTCTGTCGTTCTGGGACAAATATTGTTTTTGAACTTTATTTTTAAAAATATTTTATGTTAATTAAACTTGAAGAACAAATTTCATAACTAATTCTGTTACCTCGAGAGGCCTCTAAGGCCTCAGGAGCCGCACTTTTGACAAGGCACTTGTGTATATGAGAGCTGCTCTATGTCAATATCAAACTAAGTTTGTAGCTTTTAAAACGAGACAATGAGATTCCAAAACAAAAAGAGTATTTTGAAAATTCTTATACTGAAAATCCTAGCGTAAAAGTGCGTAAAATATACTCGGCCTTCAGGGAAAGACTCGCTGCGGCTGCTTCTACGTTGGACTTACCTTCCAGTTTTGGTGACTATCATCTCGTTGGTTAACTCTTTAAACTTGTTCCATAAGTCTGCGTCGTCCAGCGTCAGTTTAATATCCCGCTCGGACGCGTCTCCCTTCTCGCTGCCCTTCTGGAACTCGCTCTCCACGGCGCTCAGGAGATGCTCCAGGCGCTGGTCGGGGTTGGAAGAAGTCATATTTCCAAGCTGTGTGGGTAGATCTAAAAATCCAAGACGTTTAGTGCGCAGGGCTGAGCGACTCTAGATAGCCCGAGTGATTCTGGTTACTCGACCCTGAGGCCTCATCATTTAAGGGCCCTCAGGGACCTCATGGGGATATGGGGCGTGGTTTGCGCGTCTCGCTGCTCTTACGGGGTTTAGCGTCTGCAAACACCGCCCACCGCAGGCTGATTCCTCCTTATAATATAAAACACGTCAACAATTCACAATACACGCATTTCTTTATCATTTTAAAATCAATCTTCTCAACCAAAGTCCACTCACAGTTTTAACTATTTATTCAAGATGTTCAAAGTCTGACTCTGCTGCTCAAACAGCAGCTGGAGTGAAAGTGTGTGCTTCATATAGTTTGATCCCTCAAAATCTAATAAATCTCTTGCAGTTTAAAGCGCCTACACATTCAGAGCTGTGTGTTCAAACAAAAGAAGGGAAGCGAGGGGATAGAGCTGTGCCTTTGAACTCAGTTGTATATTTGCAAATAGTGTTAATCTTTTGTTGTCTCAAATCCACATGGGAGAGGGCCTGTGTTTACTGAGCATGGGCCATTAGGCCAGACTCTGTGTTCCTGTTGTGCCAAAGTGTGGACGGCCCACAAGTGATGCCTGGATTTGCATAATGGGCCTGCAGGACTCTCTCGGAAGCTCTCTGATATTAAATATGTTGCCAGTTGGAGTCTGAGTGCTTAGCAATATCCTTCTTTCCTTTGAGCATTTACCTGAAAAACTTCAAAATGTGTTTTTTTAATACATTTCAGAGCAGAAAGAAGAGCACGTGACTGGAGAAATGAATTGGGTGTTAGAAAAACTAAAAGGAAAAGTTCATGAACTTTATCAGTGTAGTGGAAACCTGAAGCTGCTACAGGATGAAACACTTATTCTGGATTCCTGCCCTCTTTATTCCCACTTCAGTACATTCCCTTAAATTCTGTCCTTCAGTGAAATGTACAGAAATGTTTTTCAGCATTTTCCTTCTGATCCACTCTCCATCACATGTCAGAAGGATATAACTATGACTATGCAGACTTAAGAAAATAAACTATTGTTAGGATATTGTGATTTAACACATTGAATTTTTATTTATTAATGTCATGTTCTCATTTTCTCTCTCAAATTCGATATCATCATATTTTAATCAATAAATACACCGCACAAGAAAACTCACAATGAAGCCCAATTTTATTTGCTAGTTTGGGTAGAAAATATTTATGATAAGGGACAAAAATGATACAAGACATTGCTCGCCACAAGGAAAAAACACTTGTTAAAAAACGCGTGTTCGATGATCTAAAAGCAGAACTGAGATAATTCTGTAGATTCCATCCTCAAAGCTTTGATGAGTTTATTTTTAAGGGACACTTACACTGGGTGAAGTTTCCACCTCGATCTATGAATGCAAAGATTCTATAAATGGAAAGTGCCAGCCGTTTAGTGATAAAAAAAAAAAAAAAACTGAAGGAGAAGCATGAAGGCAGTTTTTCCACTTCTGATAACTCATGTATATTTTTTCTTTGCTTTTTTATTACATACTTGGTCATTGAGTTTTTATTACTATTAATACTAGACAGTGATTTCTGTCACTTTCTGTTTCTGCTGGTCAGTGTTCAAAAGTGACCCAAAAATAAACACGTCACAAATGTATTATGTTCAATTAAGTTGCAACTCAGATTAAAAAGGAATGCCTTTAAAATGCTGCTTATTAATGCGTTTAATCAATGTCAAATACAATATGATTCACTTTAACATTACTCTTATCTGTTCTCCATATTTTATTTTTCTCTCCTATGAAAAATATGCTAAGTGTTTTACAAGCCACCTTTCAAAAGAGAATTATTGGAACATTAAGAAAAGGACTTTGTCTTAGGATTTTCACACAATACACTTTTCAGTGTAAGAAAAACAGAAGATTCTAGCTTTGTTATGACACAGTCAATCAAATGTGGTGTTGTTGTTTTTTCTACACTTTAGGTTTTGTAACTTTCCCCGTTGTAAATAAATAAACTTGAGTTGATTGAAATAAAAGATCCAACCTAGACGCTCACGACTTTGACTGACCTGAGACAATAAACACAAATCTGTAATGGAGTGATGTTTTACAAAAGTGAACTTAAAGGACATCATGTGAATACGTTTTCACCCCTGCATGCTGCTGTGTATCACACTTAAAGACTATTTTAAACCTAATACAACTTACTCACTTTTAGAGAACTCCTCAAAAAATTGTGGTTGGGAGTTAAATGTGCACATTTGCGGTCATGAGTTTGACACTGCAAGCTTGTTTGTAAAAGATTTAAGTATTTGAAGTACCTGATAAATCTCTGGAGGCTTGGTGACAACATCCTTCATTGTGTAAATAATGGATGGATGATGTGATAACTGAGTTAAGAGTTTTAAAATGTTGAAACATCTTTGACTAAAGTAGACTGTAAAAAGCTCTCTTACTGAACTCCTTCTACCTGACTTACAGTATTCACTCTAACGCTCACATTGTCCCATCGTGCCGCCCTTTACAGATCTGAGCCTTGTTGTTTTGTTGTGTTGTTCCTGCCGCCTGAGCCTCTTCTGTCTGTGATGTACTTGGAATTGAGTGAGGGCTTTGGAGCGCGACTCCACTTTACTACACCACTTCCTCCAGCTCTACAGAGGCCATAAATGTAAAGAGGTCCTCTCACACCTTTCCATCCCGTATCATTCAGCGGCCTCTTCCTTTTTTTTCCCCCCTCTCTTAACTTTTTTTTTTTCTTTAATTTTGGAGACAGAGAGTGTTAAAAAGCGGCTGCATACAGGAGCTGACCACCCCCCCCGCAGATCAGAGCAGGGCCTCCAGGCTGAGCCCTGACAGGACGCTGCATCATCACTCTAAAATAAGATTTAATTTCATAAGTCAGAGATGAGTCGTCCTTAGCTGCAGCAACAAAACACTCCAGTTGGCCGTACTCCAGCGCTTGTGTGTTGTGGATGTCAGGTGTTGCCTGGAGAGAAAATATTAAAGCTCAAAACATCCTCGCAGTTTGATTGACAGGCCGAGTCCAAACTGAGCAGAAGGAGGAGCATCTGCCATCCCGAACGGTGAGCGAATGTCTGCTCTCAAATATAAAGTTTACATGAAAATCCAGCAAAGGTTTCCCACAGGTTTTCTTGTCCCTCATGCACACACACAGACACACTCACACTCACACTGCTGCTGCCGGCGAGCTGAGGGTTAAGCGCTTGCAGGCCGCGCTCTGGCATGGGCACACACTCACCTAGGTGAGAAATATTGCAGAGGTCTGGTGCTTCACAAAGGGACAGTTATAACGATGCATATTTTCCAGAGGACTCTGCTGCCCTAAATGAGTAAACACAGCGAGGCGGATGAGTCAGGCCTGGGAAGAAAAAACACTCCTGCACACACACACAGAAGAAGAAGACAGGTACGCACACACACACACACACACACACACACACACACACTATGATATAAGGTTGTTACTGGATAAACAACAAATAAATGAACACTCCTATCTTTCTGATAGAAGGAAGCATAAAGGTTTATTAAACATCTTCCTTTGACTTATAGATATATGACTTGTAAAAAGGTTCCTTCACTCCTCTCTTTTTAAAAGTTGTATTGCGTCTCACAGCGGAGGAAGTACTAATGGAATAAAGAACCTTGACTATTAGAGACGTGGGGTACCTGCATTCTTCACAAATACAATGTAAGGATGTTCTGTCACACAGCAATGAATTAGTGTGAACTGTGTTGCTTTAACTCTAGCGTGTGCAGCTGTATAGCCTTTTAATGTAATGTTGTTGTTTCCATCCTCATATTCGTTCTCCTGTTTTGTCTTCATGTCACTTGTTATGTCTGTCATGTTATTGCATCACCTTATTAAAAAAAAGAGTATTTACTGGAATATTTTTTAAAACAGATAAAAAAACACATCTGAAAAAGTTGCTTTACACACCATCATGTTTAAAATTATATTTATCTGTATCAATAAGAGTGTCATCAGTCCAACCACCTGATCAATAACGTAACCATAGCAACTCCTGCACTTATACCACATGCCAAATAAGGCTGTAGCAGCCTATTTCTTGATATACATGACATGGTTCAAGGTTTATTAAGTAGGCATTAAGCTTTTCACATTTAAGAAGAAGAATTGTGTTTGTTTCTATTTTAACAGTTTTTATAGTCTTACTTTAGTGAAACTAAAAACACATTACCACATGTGAAAGTTTAAAATCACAGCATGGACGGAAGAAAAGAAAGAAAGGTTTAACTCGTGACCTTCGTAATCACTGTTGTATTATAGTTAATAAATACATTGGTATGTTGTATTGTTGTTTTTTGTCTTAAAAAACATTTTAAGTTAAAATAAAGTTTAACTTTAACTTTGAATAAGAGCGTAATGAATGATGTTCTTTATTCTAAGGATAATAAAGTAGAGCAACATCTGGATTTTATAGGGTACATGTGAGATGTGGAATAAGTAGAAACATACACATTTAGTGAGGTAGAATTGCACTAACGTGGTCGAGAAAATGTCTGACCTACAATTACCTGACAGAGATTCATTTCTAGTGTGTTACTGTGTCTTTAAATGAAGTCGTTCTTGTTGTTTTGTGTGCATGTAAAGACAAAAAGAGCGAGCAAGTGAAACAAGCAGCAGCCTCAACTTCCTCTTAGCCCCTTTAGTGAAGAGAGAGGAGTCACCAACACACACACACACACACACACACACACACACACACACACACACACACACACACACACACACACACACACACACACACACGGCCCAGCCCTCCCTGATGTGGATTGGGCCCTGAGCTTCGTCTGTCACTTTTGCGTTTCCACTTCAAGTTCAGGAAATCTAAACTTTCCTCTTCTAATCACCCGTCCCTTTGAAAGGGATAAAAAGAATTAGTGGGGACAGTAATTGCCCCCCTCTCGGCCCCCGCCCTCATCTAGGTGCC